CTTATTATGGGAAATAAATATTTAAATAAAAACAAGCTGCTGATTATTTTACATTTTACTTGTGAGCAACGGCACATTTAAATCTTACAAATATAGTTATTTGGCTTATATCGTGATAGATATCGTTATCGCCTGAAATGAAAAAAACATATCGTGATATGAAAAAATCTCATATCGCCCAGCTCTAGTTTAGAGTATTTCTCATCTTAAATTGCAGATTTTCTGCAAATCCCATTCTAATATTCTGAGTGTGCAGAATATCTGTGATTGTCTGGCAGATCCTCACCAATGTTCAGGCTAGGCTTCAGTGTACTTTAAGTATTTAATGGTGAATCTTTATTTTTCAAAGCTACAAAGCTAACAGTGATAGAGAGAATCGTTGCGATGATTCTACACTGCCTCTCCTGCTGACTGCTTTGAGGAGGTGAATACGCTGGGTGTGGGGCACTACCACGACTGGTCTCTAATCTCAGTCTTCTTACCGTCCAGAACTTGACTTGGCTTGGCTTATAAACTCGCCACAAGTTTGCAAGTCCTAAATATCAGATACTGGAAATCCACAGTTAGAAATAGAGCAGGGCGCTATAACCAAAAATATTTATCACGATATACATTTGAAAATATATAATTGACACTAGACAAATTACTTTGCAACTCCACAACTTTATTAGCGCAAAAAACCCCATCAATGTATTTTCACTTGAACAAGCATCTGTTTTTTATGTGCATTAAAGTTATATAAAAATTTAACAGTGCAAATGCAAAATCCTTGCTGACAGTATAATATCCACAAAACTTAAAAAGAAGTTATACACACACAATACGGTAATATTATGTTGAAGCACAGTACATATCACTCCGCGAGGCTCCTGCCTACGATAGTCGTAATGCTCCGACAATCCATCAAGCGGTGCGGGTTCGTAGCTTAGCAAAGTCGTACTAAAACATTTGACAGATTTTCGAGCGCCGTGTACGACATAAACTCATTTCAATGTCAGTAAAAACAACCAGAATTCATACATAAGGCGCACGGGATTATAAGGGCCCTGTCGACTTTCAGAAAAATCAAAGGATTGATTTTAAGTGTGCCGTATTTTCCAAAAAACATGGTAATAACGACGGCCCGCTAGCATGCTCTACCAAAAATAGTGCTTTGTTGTGTATCTGACGGACGAAAGCCAAACCAGTTCCACACCACTGAAGTTGCAGCATTTTTACAAACCAGTTCTGGTTCATCTGTTTCATTCAACAATCTGCTTTTGCCCTCCTCATTCTCCGTCGCCGCCATGCTTTTTCCGCCATGTGCGTATGAAAACAAAGGCACTGCACATGCGTGTTTTACCCATATTCTATTGCGATATTTCATTTTCTTATCTTTGGCCAACATTATACCGGTATTACCGTGAATGGTATGATATGGCCCAGCCCTAGTTAGAAATACTTTATACTGTTTTATAGAAAAAACTTCAATCTTTGTTTCAGATCAGGGAACCGAATGAAAAAAAAAAAAAAAAAATGGGCAAAAGCTTAAAAAGTAATGTGAAGCATCAGCTGTGAATGCCTACTAGAGCTGCCAACATGGTTGCTTCACTCCACACCATGCCATCTAAACACAGGTGCAGTCATTTATACTTGCTGTTAAGGCGCAAGAAGCCGCTGCAGTGGTCTCCTAAATGACAATATCGCATGATATGTGCTGATAAGGAGGAGAAGTGGTCAAAACCAGAAGCCAAGACTTTGCCAAGTGGTTTTTTTTTTTTGCAAAGTTCTTTGCACAAACTCAAGTTTTCATACAACTGCAACATTCCCTCTGTGTGTCAGCATGTCGCTGAGCTTATATGCAGGTTTATCATTAAAATGGCGGCACAATCATACACTTGTGTCTTCAACCCAGCAGCGCCGGCCATGCGCAACACGCCATGTTACAAAAATCAAGAGGTGCACGACCAACCGACATGCCACAAACATTGTGTGGCACAACACAGGTTGTGATGTGAAAATCTTCATCAGACACAGGCGAGACAAGCAATGAAAACATGTGCACCCCCCCCCCCCCCCCCCCCAAAAAAAAAAAAAAAAAAAAAAAAAAAAAAACGAAGCCAATGAAATCCAGCTATCCATAAAATGTGCCTGCACATGTCAATCACTGCCACACCGCACAGCTTCAAGTTTCCTCAACTAGTCTGGACAAGGAACCCTGAAGGACAGATGAAAAAGATAAGAGAACATCAGAACAAAAAGCACATTGCTGAGCGCCTTGTGATTTGTTGTTTAGAAACACATCAGCAGCAGTTATGTGAACCAAGAACAAATCAGAGTACTGCAGCATTGTTTCTCCACAAACTGCAGTATAACTAAGGCATGATGGCCAAGAAAACACTACAATGGTTTTGAATGATCCAACATCAACTCAGATGTCCGTAAAAGTGTACTGTATGACAGCATATCTACAAAGATGCACTAAAATGCCAAACGCTATAAACACTAAGTAACCAAGGCTTCAGGATTAGCATAAGGGGCTAAACAACTTGCTTGCTGCTGCACAGAGGCAAATATCCTAGAGGAAGACCAAACTGCCGGTTTTCATCTCTGAAAAGGATTATTTCCTGATGAAGAGTGTGAACATTTCTCATACTTTTACCTGAGAAAATATGTTTAAACATGTAGTCAACAGTGTGAGGTTTTTGCATACACTTCTGACTACTTTAATCCAGCTAGTAAATCAAACCTGTCCACTGAGTCCCACAATCTAAACTTCTGAAAAAGACTCCTTTAGACAGGCACTATCAACACACCGTTAACACTGATCTGTTCCTGACATTTCAGTTTCCAGTACTGGTGAAATGGACATGAGTATTGAGGGCGCTGTTTCTAATGTTTTGCCTACCACATGTTATGTTCCGGCTTTGAGGAGTAAAGAAGGAGGCCTAGTTTGCCAAAACACAGCTAGCGAAGCCATTTAACTTAGCCGGTCTGAGCTTCACCCCAAATCTACAATCATGAATATGCCTTATCTGCCATGAGACCAGTTTCACAGCTGTGTATTTCCATTGTTTCATGTGCACGTATTACATGTACCATAACCAACCCAACCCAGATCCTGCTAGTGCCTAACGTGTAATTTGTAGCTATATAATAGGACTAATATTTGGTTTCTGTCCGACGTTGTTTCTGCTCGTTGTAGCGTTTAGCCTGCTGTACCGGACGGCTCTTTACACAAGACACCATTCAGCACTAACGCGGATTCCCATTAAAGCTGAGTTAGTGGTTAACCTTAGCTGTTAGCTTTGCTAACGTTAGCGTGCATTATCGTCAACAACATCCACGGCATTGAACCAAATGTGCACTACATTAACGTGCACATTTGGGTTTAACAGATTCAGTGATATGGAGGTACATTAGGTAGTAAACCTGCATTAGAGTTTACCTAGCTTTTCTTTTTCTTCTTTATTTTATTTTATTTTATTTTTTTACTCAAGTTGCTGGAATGGTAATAAGCGTAAAGCTAGCAAGCTAGCTCCCTAGCAAACAAAGAGCTCAAAACAGGAGACGTGCACGATAGCATGCTAGCCAGCGTTAGCATACTGCGTCACGTAGCTTTTTGTGTCAATAGCAGAAAGAAACGGGAAAAGATGGAAAATGTAGCTACGTTCTTCCATATATATTAAACACAACCCTTCTGGCTGTATTTAAGTTGTTAGAGTAACGCCACAGTGCCAATAGCTAGCTGATACTACAGCAGAAACCATAGTCGTGAGCAGAATAACGAAACCCACACATCTAGACCCATCAATTCACATTAAACCACATATATTTTGCATGTAGCTGAATACATTAAAAAATGAGATTACCATGCGAGCAGCCTCAGCCCAGGTCCGCTCCTTCTTTCTCTTTTGTTTGTCCTTCATTTCCTCTGCGCTGGTGTTTGCGGCTAGTCGCTGTGTGTCTACAAAGCAACCTCAAAATACGATGGCGGTTTAGTTGTTTAGCAAAAATGCTAACTAAGCTATGGGATAACTGTGCAGATGCCAGTCAAGAGCTTCCTTTTAGCTCGGCTCAACGCTGCGGTGTCTGCGAGTCTCTCAGAATCGCTACTCGGTCTTAATTAGCTCAACATACATAGTCTTTCTAGCATAGAAGCCGTGTGGACCAAAGGGATGACTGTGCTGCTGCAGGACAAGCCTCTCTGGAATGCAACAACCAGGTCAAAGGTCAAACCGTCCGCAGGAATGCAACAAAACAAGCCCTGCCCTCCGCTTTCATATCCTGCAATTAACCACATTTTGCATGCAAACTATCTGATATTTTCAGAGTTAAGCTCGCACGTAGTAATGGAGCTCATATGAACAGAATAATCTTTAATTCAGGGTGAATTGATAACCTTTCATCATTAATTCAATATGGTTTCAGTTATTTATTTCAGTTAAAATGTGTCTGCAAATAACAGATAACTCCAGCCAAATGAATACACATCGGAATCAAGACAATTAGGACACTAAGATTTAATTTTGGACCATGGTAAGTCATTAAAGATGTAACAGATACTCAGTTGGTACAAGGGTGCTGTATTAGAGTACTTCAGAATACTGTACATATACCTCAGAAATATATGTACACAGCTTTTTGTGAAAGATGCTCCTAACTGGCCTCTTCACTGCTGCACTGTGCATATACACTCAGTAGCCAGTTCATTAGGCGTACCAAAGACTCATATACACGCATTGCTAATCAGTAACTCAATGCATTTAGGCATATCGACAGGGTCAAGAGGACCTACTGAAGCTCAAAATGAGCATCAGAATGAGGAAGAAATATGATTTAAGTGACTTTGAACGTGGCATGCTTCTTGGTACTAGACAGGCTGGTCTGATTCTTTCAGAAACTGCTGATCTGTTATAATTTTCTTGCGCGGCCAAGGGTTTTACCCAGACCAGCAGCTCTCTGGATGAAAATGCCTTGTTGATGCCAGCGGTCAATAGAGACAGCCAGACTGCTTGAAGCTGATGGGAAGATAGCATTAACTCAAAGAACTAATTCTTACAACCAAAGTCTGCAGATGAGTACCTCCGAATGCACAACATGTCAAATCTTGAAGTAGATAGAATAGAATAGAATAGAATAGAATAGAATAGAATAGAATAGCCACCTTATTGTTATTTAGAACATACACACAATATAGAAGTTCATGGCGTTTACTTGTCATTGGACTGCACAAAACAAATAATGTAAATACATGTAAATTTCAAGGTATAATGTACATTATTATTATACATTATTATTAGTATGTAAAACCGTACACAATATTATGAAATAAATATATTTCACAGCAATAATAGCAGCAGAGAACAACTGCCTTAAGTATACAGTCATGGAGTAATTCAAGGAATGTGCCTTGTGCATATTTGGAGAGAGGGGTGCAGTTTGGGGGCTATTTGTGTGTCATTAAGAGTCTAATGTCTTGGGGAATTAAACTTGCTGAATTTGTCTATCCTCATCCTGATGCTGCAAAACCTCCTTCCAGAGGGTAGCAGGGAAAACAGTTCGTGGTGATGTCTTGTCCTTAATGAGACCCACCACTGTTGTCACCACTGTGACATCTACACACTTGATGATGAGATTAGAAGCATATGCAACGCAACACATACAACTGTGGACTCAGGACACAGCCTGAGGGGAGCTGATGGAGAGAGAGATGGTGCTGCTAAAGCTTCTGTTTCCCACTGTCACAAACATAGGTCTGTTAATGAGGGAGTCCATCAGCTAGTTACATATCGTTAGCTTCATAGCATAAGTGCCTAAGTCATTTTTTGGTCAAATTGAAAATATCAATTAAAAATATGCATGTGATATTTAGAAAATTAGTTTTTTCTTGTTTTCCGAAAACACAAAAAAATGACTTAGGCACTTATGCTATGAAGCTAACGTTATGGGGGTGGTGATGCTCAATAGCTTATGCAGCATAATCATATTGAATGCTGAGCTGAAGTCAACAAACAGCATTTGCACATGACTGTGGGGTTAGTGAAGAGGGGCTGCTGCCCTCCGTACATTCACTCTCCTCTGGGTTGAACATGAAAATTAGTTCACTGTACTCCATTGGTCTCCACGGTCTGTATCTAAATCCCATTAGAGCACCTTTGAGATGTGGTTGAATCGGAGATCTACATCATGGATGCAGCCAATAACTTTACAATAATTGTGTGATGCTGTCATGTCAGCATGGACGAGAATATCTGAGGAATGTTTCCAAGTAAAGAGACTTAGGGGGTTTTTGTTGTTGTTTTTGAATGCTAATTCAATCATATCAATAAAAAAAATGGGCAAATGCCAGCACAAACAAGTGAGCACTTAAATTCATTGGATCTGTGATTAAATAACCAATGATCGATTAGGGAAGAATTTGTTATTTGAGGATGTGACATTGTAGGGAATATTTTTTTAAACGTGCTTTTAGACAAAAAAAAAGTTGATCTATCAAATAATAAAAATGACCACTGATACTTTGATAATTGTATTGACAATAAAAAAACTTCACAAGTACCACATGAAAACATTATTGTTTAATGCATATGTACCCTGTGACAACTTGCTCATATAGATGATACATTTATTGAAAGTGCAGGAAAACATGACTGGTTAAGCTGGAAAAAAATTGCATATAATAAAAAAAATAATTTTAATTGCATTAAAAAAAACTCATGCTGATCACTACCATATTTCTTCATTTGGCATGCAAATCCAGTTTAGTGCCACAGCCAGCCTGGTGGGGGCAGAGGCATGACACCTCTAGAAGTTTGATTTGAACCTGGTGGACTTTGGAGGCCAGCACAGAACCTCCAAATCACAGAACAGAAGGGCACACATCGGGAATCAAGAGGGATGATGCAACAAAGCATACAGACAAACAAAGGGTTTAAATACACTGTGATAAAACAATGACCCACGCATATAGCGTTGTATGGTGAATGACTTTACTGTATTTGCTGAATTTCTCTTTGCAGCAGTTTTTCAGCTGCTTCCTCCTCTGCTGCACATCACACACACCTGTTCCCTCAGGTCCTTGCATCCACCTCAAATGGGTTAGACACGATGAGGTCAGGTGAGTGGATCAGCCTCCCCTGACACCACTCCTCCTCCCACTACACCCTCCACTGGAGGGGCATTTTCCAAACAGAGGGTCAAAAGGTGGCTAAGGAGGAGAAGAGAGCTCTTTTTTGGTCTTGGGATGTAGGCAGGATGCAATGGGTGCTGTTTTAGCCATCTAAGGGCGGGCCTGCCTTCCTCCCAAGAGGTACACCAGATACTGTACCTTCCTGCGTCCAACTGCACACTTTTTTTGGTGGGTTGTGAGCCCTGCCTGCCTCAGGGACACCAGCACTGCAGCCACCAACTGCAGTCCTGGTAGAATGACACCGTCATCTTAGTAGGTGGCCACATATGCACCATGTGGAGGCAGCACCCAGTTCATGAGTTGCTGGAAAATGGCTGGGACAACTGGTACAAACCGTATGGAGTGGAGAAGGCTGCTTTATCCTTGGACTCTGCAGAGAAGGGGAACTGCCAGTTGTTCTTGGTCAAATCCAGTTTAGTAAAACTGGTCCAGGAGCTCATCAACCCGGGGCATGGGATAGGCATCAAACTGTGACACCTCATTCACCTTGCAGTAGTCAACATGGACTCATATAGACCCATCTTTCTGTACTACAAGAACTATGGGGCTACACCATGCGGTGTCCGACTCCTCTATTACCCCCATTTTCAGCATTTTGGCCAATTCTCTCCGAATAATTTGACTCTTATCCTCAGGTAACCTGTATGGCAGGGAACACACTGTTACACCAGGCTGCGTTTTAAAATACCACTCTATGAGATTTTGCACATCCGGGCTCGGAGGAGAACACATCTGCAAACCACTATTGCAATACAGCAACATAACCTAAGTAAACTGGCCGGTCCCAGCTCTCACCCGAGGAACAGGAGCAATGATTTTGCATCTGCAAATGTTTTTATTGTAGCTCGTCTGATCAACTCCTAGCTTCCTGCTCCAAATGTATAAAAGGCTCCACCCACAGGTACATTCGGGGATAATCGTGGGCGGATCAATTATTAACGTTAAACCCTAGCTACTGCTCCCTGTATCTTTGCATGTTAACCAGGTTACGCATCCCCTCAGGCCCTTCCTGATTCCGGTGCAGAATCTCATTGATTTTGAATTAGCTATACAGTTGCTCATTCCACTCCTCATGCTCGAACCTCGCATACCAGCCAAAGCCCTAAATAATCAAGTGTTTGCTCACATCACTCATCGAAGTGAACCTGTCACATTAGTCACATCAGGTAATCATAGAGAGTTACTTATCTTTTTCACATTTAATTCACCTGCCACCCTACTTATTCTTGGTTTCCCCTGGTTAGGACTCCATAACCCTCATATAGACTGGTCTGGTCAATGAATTGCTAGCTGGAGCATGTTTTGTCATTCAAACTGCCTCACCTCCACTTGCCCACACAGTCTGGTAAACCCTCATACCATGCACCGCACCGCACCGGATGTTACCTCCGTCCCATCAGAATACCATGACTTACAGGAGGTATTCAGCAAACAAAAGGCTCTCTCACTACCACCCAACAGACCATATGACAGTGTGATATATTTTCTCCAGGGATCTGCTACCTACCAGCCGCCTGTACAACCTGAATGAGTGGCCATGGAGAACTATATCCGGGAATCTTCGCAGCTGGAATCATCTCCCTGTCCTCTTTTCCGGTGGGGGCCAATTTCTTTTTTGTGGGGAAAAAAGATGGAACTCTTTGGCCATGCATAGATTATCGCAAGTTGAATGACATTACGATCAAAAACAAGTATCCTTTTCCTCTAATAAATTCTGCTTTTGAACCTCTTCAAGGTGCCACAGTGTTTACAAAACTAGACCTCTGCAACACATACCACCTGGTTTGCATTAGAAAAGGAGACAAATAGAAGACCACGTTCAACACACTACTTGGACTTTTTCAGTACCTAGTAATGCTGTTTGGCCTAACTAATGTCCTGGCTGTTTTCCATGCACTAGTGAATGATGTCCTTAGGGACTTTTTGAACAGATTTGTCCTTTTATATTTGGATGATATAGTGATCTTTTCCAAGTCACTTGAAGAACATCAGCATCCTTCAGTGCCTCCTGGAGAATAAATTGTATGGCAAGGCCAAAAAATTTGAATTTCACTC